TTAATTTTTTTTATCATTATTTAAATTTTATTCTTAAAATCTGAAGGTTCAAATCATTTACATATTTTGTTATAAAAAATTTTAATATGTTTACTTTGTAGTTGCAAATGGACCTAAAGATCACATAGCTGAACAAGAGGATTTTGAATCATGGAGGTCCACTCAACAACATCAACAGGCTTACACTACACCTATCAGCACTACTTCAGACCCTTATACAATGTCAAATTATTACAGCACGGGATTCACTGGTATTTTTATTTTTTTTATCTTAATTTATTAATAATTTATTTAAGGCTAATTCCGGTTCCGTTTATATATAAAAAAAAAAAAAAAAAAAATGAATTTTTTAGGTTATCCGACATTTGGGGTAGGCGATGGAACATGGTCGAACGGAGGTGACCCTATGGGGTTTTTGAGCGGATACACTGGGGACATGGGTCACGGAAGCTATGGAATGGATGGAATGTTTGGAGGGGGAGGCGGAACTTTTTCAGCTACTGGTGGAGGCTTTGGAACCTTTGGAGGACCTACAGCTGCAGCCGGTTTTAACTATTTTCATGGTAGGTATTAGAAAGCTCCATTAGAATAAATTATACAGATTTAGAATGGTTTTATAGACTAATGTTTAAACAATAAAAATGTAAATTAAATTTTAAATCATGTTTTATAGGAAACGGAGATTACTCTACATGGGGAAGTAGTCCAGCGGCTATGTCTAGAAAACCTCACTACGATGATTATTATAGAGAAGGAATTTATTCTACGGGCCCCGCGGACGCAAATGTTAAAACTCTGGAGCAAAGTATGCAAAACATCAGTTTGGAAAGTGCTCAGTTTCAAAAATCGGACGTTAAGGATTCAAAAGAATTAAAAGACATGCCTACAGCTCCCAAAAAAATGACTTGGGCTAGTGTAGCTAGTCAACCCGCAAAGCCACAGCCTATAATTCCTAGTGGGGGTATGAAGAAAAAAGGTCCGGGTATGCCCCCTCCTCCCATGATACCTGGAAAGCATTTGGATATAGGTACGTGGGAAGGGAAAAACGGTACTAGCGTGCCAAAAGCTCCCGTCGGTCCTCCTCCTCCTGCAGCTATAAGGCCCGCTTGGACGGCTCCAGCCGTACGTCCGCGAGCTCCAGCTGTTCCTTATCCAACTCCACCTCCTCATCCTATGACGATGATAGCTCATCCGTCTGTCATGCCACAGCCAGCTTCACTCCAACCTCCCCCTAGCATCACCCCGATGAATCACCCCGTCCTCGATGAATTACGCGTTAAAAACAACTATAATCCATCAGAATTTGACATGAACTGCAAAGGAGCTAGATTTTTTGTCATAAAATCATATTCGGAAGATGACATTCATCGTTCAATAAAATACGAGATTTGGTGCTCTACTGAACACGGTAATAAAAGATTAGATCAAGCTTTTCGGGAAAGTGAAAAGAACGGTAGTGGTCCTATTTATTTGTTTTTTTCTGTGAACGGTTCGGGTCATTTTTGCGGTATGGCGCAAATGGTGACACCCGTCGACTACCACGCTTCGAGCTCCGTGTGGTCTCAGGACAAGTGGAAAGGCCAGTTCCGCGTACGTTGGTTGTATGTAAAGGACGTCCCCAACAATCAACTAAGACACATTAAATTAGAAAATAACGAAAATAAACCGGTTACTAATTCGAGGGATACTCAGGAAGTTCCCTTTGAGAAAGGACGTCAAGTGCTAAAAGTTATACATCAATATCGCCATTCAACAAGTATATTTGACGATTTCATACACTACGAAAAGAGACAAGAAGAGGAAGTAAGTCGAAAAATGCCGGAAGACGTGAGAGACGGGAGACATCAAGGAAGAAATGATGAAAGAGATGATAGAGGACAAGATCATCGTGACGATCGCAGAGATAGAGATCATCGTCCTGAAAGAGACTCGGGACGATCCCATCAAGGTCCCCCACCTCATAGAGTAAGTGAACCTTTTTTTTTTTTTTAAATAACTCGTATTACATATTTTGTTTTATAATTTTTTTTTTTTTTATTACGCTATGACAACATTTTTTTTTTAATTTTATGATGACAGGGTGGTAATGTGATAAACATTAAATTTTTACATTTTATCATTTTTATTTATTTATAATTTTTTGTTTTTTTTTTTTTTTTTGTTAAATTTGCAGGAAAGAAATGATGGAGGACGCCCGAGCCACGGTGGACGCGGAGGCGGTAGCCGTAATTAAATAACGTTTAGCTAATTAATATTTTTTTGTCGTACTGTATGAATTTCATCAGAGCAAATAAAAATTTAAACAATAGAAAAAAAAAAAAAAAAGAAAGAAAAAACAAGAAAGAAGAAAAACAAATTCAGCAGAATAATTACGGAATTCAATAAATAATTTTAGAATTAGATTGTTTTTTTTTTTTTTATATATATATATATATATATAAAAATGAAAGGTGATAATTACGTTGATGAAATTATGATTTTGTTTCAGTGGTTTATGCCAATTAGTTTATTAAACTCGCAAATTATGCAA